AAAACTAGAATTTCGCCCGATTGCAATATTTTCGTGTTTTATAGCCCACGCCTTCCACCATTAGGCGAATGGTTACTAGTTTCTGCGTGTTTCTTACATCATTGGCAGTATATGAAAGTGTTATAACTAGGCTTTACTTGATAAGAGGTTATTTACCTATATTGGGTTGTTATGAGCAACTATTGTTATTAGGAGTTATCACTATGAGTGTTTGAGTCATGTGGTATATCATGTGATTACATCTTCGGTTACAGATATGGCTTGATACAATGTGTTCAGGCTTATTCAGTTTATAGATGTGGGATTTTGATCTTACAATTATTTCAAAAGTAGAAATTTGGTTCTAAGGTTTATGGGTTAGGTTGGATTGCGAAATTTCAGCTATGTTGTGCTATTCGACCTATATGGGATACGGTGACGTGGAATCACCCCCAGGTATGTGCATAGTAGGTTATACGGCAAATTTTGATGGTTTTTGGAACAACTCTGGACATGTTCGAGGACGAACGTATGTTTAAGTTGGGGAGAATGTAATGACCCGATCAGTCGTTCCGAGAGTGTTAGCCTCGTTTTCCCCGTTTCTGCTTTATTATATGTGGTTCATCTCTATTCTGTCGTGTTAGGTTGATTGGCTCGGGTTCGGAGTATTTTAGAGAGAAATGAGACACTTAGTCTCTTAAGTTGGTTAATTAGTTTGAAAAGTCAATCAGAAGTTGACTTATAGGTGAATGATCTCAAAATTGGGTTTTATAGTTCAGATAGCTTCGTTAGGTGATTTGGGACTTAGGAGTGTGTTCGGAATGATAATTCGGAAGTCCGTGGTAGAATTAGGCTTGAATTGGGGAAATTGGATTTTTGGCAATTTCCGATCAACAGTGGAAAATTAGCTAACATGGTCGGAATGGAATTTTGGAAGTTGGAATAGTTTTGTACTGTCGTTTGTGATGTGTGTGCAAAATTTCAGGTCATTTGGACGTGGTTTGGTTGGTTTCGGTTGCTGTTCTGGTGTGGCCGCACCTGCGGATTAGGAACCGCATGTGTGATAGTGGGGCGCAGGTGCGGTTTGGTTCCCACATCTGCGATGACCGCGAGTGTGCTTATGCAATCGCTGGTGCGAAGGTTGGCATCTTAATGAGTAACCGCAGGTGCGAAATATTGACCGCAAATGCGATTTGGCTGGGCAGAAAGGTATATAAGGCCCCCTTTGCGAAATTGGGTTATTTTTCCGTCATTTTTGTTCTGGTTTGAAACTTTTGGGAGCAATTTGAAGAGGGATCCAAGGGGTTATTCGTGGAGGTAAGCTACTTGAACCTAAACTTGATTCTATGGTGATTATTAACTGTTTGAGCATGAAATTTGTGGGATTTAAGGGAGAAAATTGGGGGATTAAGGCATGAAACTTGAGACTAAAAATTGGTTGATTGAGGGGTCAAACGAAGTTAGTTTTTGATGAATTTAGTATGTATGGACTCGTGAGAGGGTAAAGATGATTTTGTGATTTTTATCGGATTACGAGACGTGGGCCCGGGGGTCGGATTTGGCCAATTTCAAGAATTTTTGATGTAATTTGATAATTTTGCGTGGGTATTGTTCCTATAGCATGAATTAAAGATATGATTCTGATTTTGGATAGATTCGGGCGATTTGAGGCCGAGTTGAGAGGCAAAGGCATCGCGGAGTAAATTCTCGTTCGGATTGAGGTAACTAATGATCGTAAATCTTGTCCCGAGGGTATGAAACCGCGGATTTCACATCGTTTCACTATTTTGAAGTGGCGCACATGCTAGTTGACGAGTGTGTGGCGTTCACCGTTGGGCATTGTGACTTGGTCCATCCCGTAGCAACTACTAACTTGCGTATTTGACCGGAAACAATATTATATTTTGTGTTTTAGTAAAGTATTACTATGTTTTGGGCTGAATGCCATATTTGGGCCTCGTGCCAAGTTGTTTGGACTCTTAGGGGCTTTTTTACTATTGATTCCTTACTGTTATGTTTTAAGATTTGCACTCAGTCATGCTATGTTTTACTGATTTCATAGTTCAATCTTATTTACTCCATTTTGTTGCATAAAATGATATTTTGGGGCTGAGCATCTTGTTTTACTGGTAGCCCAAGTGGCTTGAGAGGTTTCTGACTGAGTGAGGCCGAGGGCGTGTGTTAGGATATCATGGGACCGGGCTGCGCGCCGCAGCATGTTGGATTGATTTATGATATGTGATAGGCCAAGGGCCTGATTGATTATGCCACGAAATGGCTTGTTATAGAGCTTGGGCTGTAGGATCCCCTCTGGAGTCTTTACACCCCCAGTGAGCGCAGGTACCTACTGAGTGCGAGTGCCGAGTGCCAAGTGACGAGTGACGAGTGATTGGGAGGCTTGAGTGACTGTGAGGTTGCCCCAGGGGCTGATTATGAGTGATTGTGAGGTATGCCCGAGGGGCTGATTTTGAGAGATGTTATGCCCGAGGGGCGGTTTATAATACATGTTTTCGCCCGAGAGGCTATTTATGATTTTCATCACTTTTATTCTAAATTCCTTGAATTTCTGTTCAAACTGTTGGAAAAATATTCTCAAATGAGTTTTACTGAAATCGGGTTTTAAGCGTGATGATTTGACATATATACTGTTAGAAATAAAGGTTGTACTTACTGTGAATTTATGATGTGTATTTATGTGTTTCTTGCTGCTCAGACCTTATTTACATTTATTACTTACTGAGTTGGCGTACTTACATTACTCTCTGCACCTTGTGTGCAGATTCAGGTGCCAGGACATCAGAGTGGGAGTTGGTCCTCCCTGTCTCAGAGTTTTACGGAGATTCGTGAGGTAGCTGCACGGCGTCCGCGGCTTTGCCTTTCTCCTTCCTACTTTTTATAGCATTTATTTTTCCTAGATCTTTAGTTTAGTTGCTCATGACTAGTGACTCCGGAATTTTGGGATGTGTGTTATGCTTTTCATATCCTTGCTTGTTTCGAAATGTTTCAACAAAAGTGTTATAAATTATCGGATCAGTAAATAAATTAAATGAAAAGTTCTTTTATGCTATAATTAGTGATTTGGCTAGCCTAGTATCGCGATAGGCGCCATCAACGCCGGGGATGGTTTTGGGATCGTGACAGATATAACATTAGCTATATTAAGATGTCTCTCTCTATATCTATATAGTATATATAGACTATACTATACTATGTATAGTATATAGCTATACTATACACACACTTAGTATATATATAATACTATACTATAAGCTATATTCGATATAACATAGATGTACATATAGTATAGTATAATATATATACTAAGTGTATAGTATATAAGCTATAATCAATATAACAATATATATATATACACACACACCAAGTGTATAGTATATAAGTTATATTCGATATAACATTAGCTATATTAAGATGTCTATATATATATATATATATATGTATAGTATATAGCTATACTATACACACAACAAAAAAAGGCAACTATATTTATACACACACAGAGAGATAGATATAGGACATAGTGTCCATATAAAAGTAATTTTAAAACACGCACGCGCGCGCGCACGCACAGACACATATATATATATATCCTATGACAAAAACATCCTGTAGAGTTGTTTGCTTATAAATTGTGATAAAAATTTCATAAGCATTAGCATAGAGAAAACATGAATTTTCTATTATTATTTTGAGATTTACATTGATCTAGTTTATATTTATTGTGTACTTAATTTCAATTTGATGTAAGCTGCATAGGTACGTATTTTGAGATAAGCGTACTAATGGTGTTAATGCATTTTTCCTATTGTGTTGTATTTCAATCAATTGTCCAAGGTATGTAGCTTAAATCTAGCACTTAAATAATAATAAAAAAAAGAGTACAAGATTACTCTCTCCAAGATACTTTTTTTTTTCTTGAGTGATAAATACACAAAACTAGCTTGACCATAAAGAATCATAATATTTGATGATATAATAAACCAAAAAAATATAAATTTAGTTTGACCCAAATTTAAAATCGCCAATAAAACAACAAGTTAATCAAACTTGTAAGAAGGAACTTGCAAATTTGAGGTTAAAAGCCATGGCTGTATGAAATTCTTTATTCCTGTGTTTTTACTCCCACGTAAGAGACAAAAAGAAATAGAGTAGAGAAGGTAAAGAAAAAATAGGAAAATGAAGCTAGCTGGGCAACCAATAAAATTTAGTGATTCAAACCAGGTTCGAACCTTGGACCTCACAGACGGAAATATTTGACAATGGTGTTTTCAGCCAAGGCACTCATCTCTAGGTCTGAAATTGTGGGTGGTAGACCCTAATATTTAGTCACGTAACTAAATTTTTGGCCAAGCTGGTGGGTGTTATGTCACTCCCACTCATAAAGGTGGATCCGCCACTGCTTCTAAGGGTGAGCCATATAATAGAATATTTAAAAGAATCGGAGTTTCGTGCGTACTACAATTTGAAATGATAATTGTCTTTAAAGATGAGGACAAGCAATTGTCTTCTAAAACTAGGGGAGACTGGAAAGAGGTTCAAATAATTGAGCCAAACATTAATGTTGAGGAAGTAGGCATGTAATTTCTTCTCTTTATCGTTTTGTATTTGACCTACCTAAGTTTATTAATTTGAGCATACCGTCACATTAATTGGTGATCATTTTAGGACGAAATACTTACTTATTGTGCATGCATTAATTTTATTTTATTTACCAATAGTAATGAGACTTGTCATAAGTTTATGACCATGTGATAATAAACACAAAGTAAGAATAATTTTCAGTCAAAACTGTGGTGTCTTTTTCTTTTATTTAAAAGTGTCGGTTGGAGGGCTTGGCGTCAATTAGGTGTGGTGTCGCTTAAAATAAACTGAAAATGTTGATTTGTGGTGGTTCTAAATAGCCACAACTACAACGTGAACATTTGGTGTCTTTTTCTTTAAAAGGGAACATATATTTAGAAATTTTGCTTCTGAAGATGACTTTGGTTGAGTAGAGAGACTGCTAGAATACATTCTCCTTTTTTAATCTCAAGGCTTCATTCAAAGTCTCCTCCTTGCGTCAGTTTTGTAACAAAAGCCATCTTTATTGTCCCTTTATTTTCCATGATGAGAAAAGAGATAAAAAAGGATGAGAGCATTGATGGAAAGTTGAAAGAGAGAAAAGTAAAAGCATACCTTTCTTGAATCTTGACCCTTCATTCATAAAACATCAAAACACTCTCCTCCACCCCTCACCCCCCTCACACACACACACATACAAAAAGGTCCAATCTTTACTTGTATTTCTCCATCTCTCTCTCTTTCTATCTCTATCTCTTTATATCTCTCTCTGTTGCTGTTGTTCACTATTAAATAGGAGTGAGTTATAGAGATTGAATGAGAGCAGTGATAATTCACTGAACTCTAGCGACATGTGTGTGATTTCAGAAGAAACGATCACCCAGTTTGAAACAGCTTTAATGGAGCAAGGTAACACTATCTTTCCTTCCTTTTAACACTGATTGACTCATCGTTTTTTTCTATTTCCTGACCCATTTCATTTCTGAGCGCAGTAGTTGATGAAGCACTCAAAACTACTTTTCAGGTTCGCCCCTTTTTCCTCGTGCCCCTCTTAACACTATGTAGAGTTTAATTCCCTTACTTTCTTTACTTTTATTAAAGAATCTCTTATATTAGCCTGCTGCGACATTTCTTCTTCCTTGTCACTAGCACCGACATTTTGCTGTTAATTGTGTGATATATCTTAGTTTATTTGGCTTTTGGCCTAATATTCAAAGATGTTAATAAAGCAGATATCTTTTGACTTTTCCCTTAATATTGGAGTTAAACCAATAATGATTAGTGATATGTTTGTTGTTGGAACTCTTAATTTATGTCTGGTTTTAGGACTTTTTGCTCTCGGTTGAGACCAGTCATACTTTGGGAATAGAATATAATTGAAACCTTATCCCTGATTCACCACCTAGCCTTGCGATGGTTCTAAAGCTCCAATTTTTTGAAATAACAGTTTTCGAATCTGTTCCGCACTGCTATATAAAATTGTGAAATTGGTTTTGGTATTTTGCCTATTTAAAAGTAAAAGGAAATGAGTAAACAAAAGGATAATAACAATTCTGTTCTGCACTGCGACCTAAGGTTCATGTCGTATCTGTCGTTGTGTGTGAGTATTCTTAGTTTTAGCTAAAACTTTGAAGTGAATGTTAGGAATCAGTGGAAATTTGATTGATTGTTCATTTCAAGTTTGCATCTATGCTATTCTGTTATAATTAATGAGTGGTTCATTAGATAATCTTCTCTCTCCACTTGCAGAATATTCATCAAGGCTGTCCAAGGGACACATATATGCGCTTCCTAATGGCAAGAGAGGGCAATGTTGAAAAGGCCCATAAAATGGTCAAAACCTACTCTTTTAAGACTTTTAAATTTGGAGTAAATGATCTTGCATACCTGATAATTATATTTTCTAATGTTTCAGTTGGTTGATTCTTTGACGTGGAGGGTCCAAAGTGAGATAGATGATATTTTAGCGGTGAGTATTACAGAATCTTGATATTGATGTTGTGGCAATCAGTTGTAAAGGTTCCTGTCCTTATCAAGTCTAGTCTTTACTATTTATAGAGCAAAGAGCCTAACACCGTGCTACTAGTTTGGCTTGTAAGACAGGAACTTAACTGAGTTAGACTTTAGATGTGGGTTTTATGGTGGTATAGACCAGTAGAAAATCTTTTCAGAAGGTCCACTACCTTTTAAATTGTGCTTCCTCAATTATGCTTAGGAGTGCAATTGAAATTGTTCACACATATACACTTTTTTCACTAGAGTTGGTTGTATTTTATGCTATTATTCATTCTTTTATGCTCGCATTAGTTGTATTTTATATTATATTTTAATTATCGTTGAACGTATCCTGAAAATTTTTGCTACTTTCCAAACTATTACCCTATTGAGTCTAATGTTGATTCTTCTTTATTTGCTACCTCAGAAGCCCATCGTTCCTATTGAGCTTTATAGAGCAATTCGTGACTCTCAGCTAATAGGGATGTCAGGTTACACGAGAGAGGTACCCATGTCTGAAATAATGTTGTGACACACATTATTGTCATCTTTTGCTATTGATGCTCCTAGGGACTTCATAACTATTTGAGAATGCTGTTATCCTCTTTTTCAGGGCCTTCCGGTATTCGCTTTTGGTGCAGGTCTCAGCACATATGACAAAGCATCTGTAAGGGTCATTGAGATTCTTATCTTCCCTCAAGTCTATAAGATTTCATGTGCATTTACTTGTTCATGAACTTGTTGTCGAGATTCGAGTCGGGTGTTTGATTTGTGGATAATGGAGGTGTACTCATTGGATTAGTTTCAGATTATAGATCCTTTATTGGCTGCATTTTTCTTGCTTTTTCTTTTTCTCTGTTTTTTTTTT